AGATTCATCATCCTTGAGGTCCCTTCCAACCCTGGCAATTCTGTGATTCTGTGATCCCAACACAGACCCCTGGGGTCTCTGCTCATCGCTGCCCTCCACCCATAGAGCCACTGACCCCAACCTCCAGCTGTGTCCATCCGACTGATTCCTTACCACCAAACACTCCAGCCATCAAATCCGTATCTCTTCAGTTGTAGATAAGGATGCAGTGCAGGGCGATGTCAAAGGCGCAGGTCCAGGGAGACAACAGCACTCGCCCATCCTTTGTCCACCAATGCCATCACCCCATCACAGAAGGCCACCAGATGGGTCAGGCACGCTCTGCCCTTGGTGCAGCACATCACTGTTACTCAGTCGGTGAAGGGGACTGCCTGCATCCTGTGTTGGCCTGCAGAACACGAGCAATGGATGGCAGGAGCCATTCCTTCCTGGGGCTGAAGGTTGCTGTGTTCACTGCTGACCTCTGCCATCCATTCACAAAGCGTGCTGCTGCTTGATTGCTTACAGAGCTGCTGGCCTCAGGAAGCTGTGACATTTTGTACGCCTTCTCCTTGCTGTATTCTTACTGCTTTAAAGAAATAAATATCTATCAGGAGTGTTTTATGCCTTGTATCATACAGATATCATTAGGAAAAACAAACCATTCTAAAATGGGGACAGGTCCCTATGTCAGAGGTGCAGCTTCAGACTTTGATTTACCAGCCCCAAACTTGTGATGGTGCAGAAACTAAAAAAGATAGGCATCTTCTTATATTGTTATGGCAGTCAGCACATCGGCCATCTGCAGTGCCAGACACCTGGAGTCGGGTAAGCCTATTAACAATCATACATTCAGTGCTCACTTTTCTAGATAAGAAGTCCGTGCCAACCAGGCTGGGACAGTCTGGTCCTGAAATAGAGCTGTGAAATGGCATTGTTCCTGGTGACCTGCAGTTCCCAAAGCATTCTTTAGTAATGAACATCCTAATCAATTGCACTTAAATTATCTAATTTTATACATCTAAGCTTTTCTGTTTGTTTGGGACAGGACTTGTGATGCACGTACCAGGATTTTGCATCCAGGTGTCCTGACTGGTCCAAGAGCTTCCTCTACCAATGTCTTGTAACAAAAATCCCAGGCTTAAAAACTAGTTGTTTCTTTCTAAAATAGTCTGTAACTTCAGCTGTAGTGCACAATCTGCCTGTTTGGGATAATTGTCCCAATATATATCAACTAATTTTTTTCTTATTTCTTAGGGAACCCTCGTGAGCTGCATCATGGGAGCAGTGGTAGTTGATGATGGTCCGTCTGGCGTCAAAGCTCCTGATGGAGGCTGGGGCTGGGCTGTCCTTTTTGGCTGTTTTATCATCACAGGATTCTCCTATGCCTTTCCAAAGGCAGTCAGTGTCTTCTTCAAAGAACTCATCCGGGAATTTGGCATTGGATACAGTGACACTGCATGGATTTCCTCCATCCTGTTAGCCATGCTGTATGGAACAGGTAGGTCGCTTGGTTTTGAAGTGATATTGCATCATACAGTGGTGTCTGTAAATCATACTAACATTTACAGTGTGAACCATGGTTGCTTATTATTGCTCGTGTACAAGTAAGGCATTCAAACAATTATCGTTAATGCACGTAAATCCAAGAATTAGTTAAGTACATACAATTTGCATATAAAATTCAACCTCTGTAACTCAGTAGATGCTAAAGATGATGAAAAATTGCACGGCAGTACAAAGAAACAGAATATCTGACTGCAGAGGAAAGAAAGAACACCCTCCAGGGTTCGGTCTGATATAGGCAGGGTATGGAAAGAAATGTGAACTGGAAAGAAATGTGAACTGACATGAAGCTATTGGTAAAAACTGGTTTAGCTTTATAACTGTATCTTGCTCTCCTTGCCTAGGTCCGCTCTGTAGCGTGTGCGTCAATCGCTTTGGCTGTCGCCCGGTCATGTTGGTAGGTGGCCTTTTTGCCTCCATGGGGATGGTGATAGCCTCCTTCTGCACCAGCATCGTTCAGATCTATCTCACCGCAGGGGTGATCACTGGTAAGCAGCACACGTGGCTGGAATGGGGCTCGGCCCGTGTCCTGGCAGTAGGCTGATGTTTCATACTACCAACATCAATCAGGATCATCCAAACAGGCTTTTATTAAAGACAGCAGATAAAATTAGAATGGTTTTATGTATTTATTCACCTATTTATTTATTACGAATGGCATCTTTTTCTGGCATGTTTAACAGCTACTGCTGTTATCAGTGTAGAATAAGGATAAGACTGAAGTGGGGTCCTCTTACACCTGTTTCCATGGAACTCTTTTGTCCATTTGCAGCAGAACCAATCTTAAGTCATCAATCAGAAAGAATGCAATTGTTTTTTTTCTTTTTTTAATAGCACTATTGGAAAGCTGTATTAACTTCTTGTCCCTTCTGTTACAGGTTTGGGTCTGGCACTCAACTTTCAGCCCTCGCTCATCATGTTAAACCGTTACTTTGACAAACGCCGACCTCTGGCCAACGGGCTGTCTGCTGCTGGGAGCCCTGTGTTCCTTTGTGCCCTTTCACCGCTGGGGCAGATACTACAACACGAGTATGGTTGGAGAGGAGGATTCCTTATACTGGGTGGGATGCTGCTCAACTGTTGTGTATGCGGAGCACTAATGAGACCTTTGGAGCCACCCAAAAAATCTGAAGCTACCAAAGAACCCGCTGAGAAGAAAGCGAAGAAAAAACTCCTGGATTTCAGCGTGTTTAAAGATGGTGGTTTTGTGATCTACACGCTAGCAGCATCTATCATGGTGCTCGGCCTCTTTGTTCCCCCAGTTTTTGTTGTGAGTTATGCCAAGGATTTAGGGTATCAGGACACCAAAGCAGCTTTTCTTCTGACGATTCTGGGATTTATTGATATCTTTGCTCGTCCAATTTGCGGAATGGTAGCTGGTCTCAAGTGGGTTAGACCACGTTGTGTCTACCTCTTCAGTTTTGCTATGATTTTTAATGGCTTTACAGATCTCATGGGCTCCATGTCTGTTGATTACGGTGGCCTGGTGGTCTTCTGCATTTTCTTTGGCATTTCTTACGGAATGGTAGGTGCTCTTCAGTTCGAAGTTCTCATGGCTATTGTTGGCACTCAGAAGTTTTCCAGTGCTATTGGCTTGGTGCTCCTGGCAGAAGCGATGGCAGTTCTGATCGGTCCGCCATCAGCAGGTCAGTATTCCATTTAGTTGAGAATTCAACACCACTGACATTGCAGGCAGAAAAAGACAACACGAGTCACTCATAGTGTGCATGCTGTCCTTGTGTTGCACATGCTTACATGACTTTGTGCAGCTAGAATCAGAAATAGCCCAAAACAGGGAAGGATATTTTATCCTTCTTGTATCCGTTTCCAAGGACTGGTTGAGCTGCCATTTGGAGGTGCTGCTCTTTTTGCAATGAAAGCCTGAAGTGCATCTCCTGTTCAGTGCATTGTATGAGTTTCACACACAGTAAATGGAATCAAATTCAAATCTCTTTGGAGTTGGAATTCAGAGTGAATCCCCTCAGTTTTATTTGGAAGGTAGTAGGACAGATTCTCTATACTTGTGGTAGGTTTGAAGGATGAAAGAAAAATTCGGAAGAGGAGGAAAAAAAAAACAACCTGACAAGAAGGGCTCTAAAGCATCAGGATTGTTCCAGGGAAGGCAGACTGACTGTGCTGCACATGTCCTGTAACCCTAAAATACGGCAACACTGCAAAATATTCAGATTCCTGAATTTGTAATGGCAAGTTCATTAACAAAATGCATAAATTTAAGAGGCTGCACCGAAAATAAACCCCAACAAACAACCCTCCTGGTTCACAGTTTGCTCTGAAGTAGAACAGCAGTTGCCTCATCTCTTGCATCTGAAGGCTGCGTCGCTTTTATTTCATTTGAGCTCCTGTCAGTGTGTGCAGGGGAGGACATGTTCTAGGATGTGAAGTACTTTCAGTCAATGCTAAGCTGAAGTGAAATAACAGAAATACTTTGTTGTAAACTTATTTACCTGCAATATTGTCTTTTTCAGGAAAACTCTTGGATCTAACACGGAGGTACATGTTTGTCTTCATTATTGCTGGAATTGAAGTTACCACTTCAGCACTGGTGCTGGCCTTGGGAAATTTCTTCTGCATTAAGAAAAAACCAGAAGAACCACACACAAAAGAAGCAGCAGCAGAAAGAGAGGAATTAAACAAATCTGAAGACAAAACTCCCGAGGATACCAAGGTGGACTCTATTGAGGTGGAACAATTCCTAAAAGATGAGCCTGAAAAAAACGGCGAGGTCGTAACTAACCCAGAAACCTGTGTGTGAGCACAGCACAAAACCCACACAGCGTTCAGAAGAGGGTCAGACAGAATTTCAACACTATTTATTTTAGAAATAGAACTAGCTTAGGGCTGGGTCGTCTGCTTTATTAACTGGAGGCTGGTCAGCTCATCAGGTCTCTCTGGAAGCTGATTTACTAGACAACCTTTTATCAGAAAATTAGCTTTATCAGTGAAAGGTGAAACGTTGTGGTTATACTTTTTATGTAAACAAAAAAGCTTTTCTGAACACAAGTAGAGTTTTGCCATGCATCACCAGAAACTGCTCATTTGGCAGAGATTGAGGAAGGATATATTATGTGTATGTTTTCAGATAATACGGGTGAAATTGCTGTGTTGTGTGGCTAAATGTAATTTCCCTTTCTGTGCTTTTTTGGGAAGGGGAAAGAGTTTGAGATGGAGAAAAATCTCAGGAACTTAAAGGTCTCCATTAGGTCTTTGAATTTCTTACTTTTTTTAGACTTTCAGATTAATTGGCTCAGCCCTAGTATAATTTTGATAATACCTGTTACTTTGGTTTATGCAAGTGTATTTCTATGAGTTTTGTCTAAACCTGTAGTCTTTGTAATTGTCATCTGGCAACACTGTACACAGAAAGGCACATTGCAGGCACTGTCCCCTGCTGATCACACAAGCCCTGATCCTAGAGAATGCTAAAAGGAAAATAAAATGAGTAGATTCGATCCCGACAGACAATAAACAAAGTTCATCTCCGTTCATATACACTGCTCTCAGTACAGCTTCTCTGCAACACTGAAAAATATTACAGGTATCATCCAGAAGATGGACAGGAGGCTTAGTAGAATCTTCTGAAAGCGTATCTGTTTTGTATATAAGTTTTAATTGTCCAGATTACATCTATCAGCCATGTGGCTATTGGTAACTTAGGGGGAAGGCTGGGACTACTTTGAAACGTGTTACTGTTACATCTTTAATATGCAACATTAGCAACACAGGAAAAACTTGATGGATTTCTTCCTTTAATGTTTAATTTACCCCACTTCCCTCTGCTTTATTAATCTACAGGAGTTCAGAGGGCCATTGTGGTTGCTTAAGATGATGGAACTGCTGATTGTTTTTATGACGGCACTAAATGAGAGCTCATCAAGAGCTGGGCTCTGCTACCTGTTGGCTGCACAAAGGCTCTGCGTAGTCCTTACATCGTGTCTGACATCAGATGAGGGAAGGGGAAGTAACACAAATAGATCCAACAAGGCAGGGGCAGCACAGCTGGAGAAATGCAGGAAGGGAAAAGATTCACTGTGAGGACTTCAAATAGGAAAGGAAGGTAAAAGGAATAAAAAAATATATTGTCTGTGCTACGTTTTTTCCCCACAAACACATTGAAAATATGTAATATTTTCTATAAATTGATGCTATTTCAACCCAGTTTTCAGATATGTATATAAAAAGCCCTGTGGGATTTATGAGTGCAGTAACAATCTTCAAAATAGGCTTAATTGCAATGGATTCTATTTTCTTCTCAGTAGGGATTCTAAGGCAGTATACAAAAGAATTAGTTGTCCCACGTGTGATCATTTTAGCAGATACAGTACAACCAAGGAAGGGCCAAAACCACAACCCATGGGATTATTTTGGAAACCAGCTTCCATTCTGCTAATTCCTTCACAATGGTTTTGCATTGTTAGGACAAATTTAAATCTTAGGAACACCATTTTATTTTTTGGTAGCAATTTTAAACAGAAATGGATGCTGCACTCAATAAAACGTTTATTTTTTATATTGGATATAGTGCAGTTCTCTTTCCTTTTCTCTCCCCTGCCTTGACTTCCTTTGAAGGGAACCTCCACCTATGCCAGATGCTCTGCCTGGACAACCACATCTCAGTGTTAAGCTGTGCTGGGGCTTCTGCCCAACTGCTTCTACAGCCATAGCAAAATAGGCCTTCATATTCAGCTCCTCTTAATCCAAGATGTAAAAAGAAAAAAAAAAAAAAGCCCCCCAAACCACCTGATTAACATCTACTGCATACTAGAAGGAAAGGATTGTATCTGAACCCATGAGCAAGATCAGCTGCTTTTTATGATTCTCACTCTGCTTACTGCAAACTCACATGGAACTGCCTTCAAACTCCTTCAGGTCTCTTGGAGTAGTATTGCTTTAATCTCAGCACTGTTGAGATGGAAATCCCTGAATTCCTAACACCCCTACGTGCTCTTGTGTTTGGAAGAAATAGGCGGCCAGTCCAAGAATGGCTGAAGAGATAACAGTTTGGGTGCAGGGCAGTAGTGCTGCACAACAAGATGTGGATGAACCCTCCTTTGTTCAGCCTTCACCTCCTTAACATTCTGTGACTTGGGTGGAAGACAGGTAGCTACACATTGGAATAATCACCTATCTCAAAGGCAATGCTGTCATTTGCTCTCCATCACGCACTGCTGGAGCATATGTAGCTGCAGTCAGAAACCCAGGTGCAATATATCCATGTATAGTAATAAAAAGCAACTGAAAGATTGCTTTGCAGATTACTTCTCCAGAACTGATGAAGAATCTCTCAGCATACAGGCTAGTATAATTCTAAAGTTGTTTGGGCCTTTGAGCATTCTATGAATTGAGATGATATGAAGGACTGAACAGATTGTTAATATTTAAACCCAACAAAACAGGTGTTGGGTGATGTAAAGTCATCCTCTAACCCAACCACATTTCACAGTGATAGTTCCCTATACACTCATGTATGCACCTCTGTTCTCTCCCAAGAAAAGCCTGAATTTGGTAGAAAGCCCCAAGCAGGATTTGCAGGAGCATGCAAACATCACATGTGACAATGGTAAGTACGGATTTGTGCACGTCCCTCTGTCTGTCTACTGCTGGTCTCTTTGGGATTACAGGAGTACACTTTGGTTCTGTGCAACAAGATGATTTGTTTCCTGTTAATGCACTTTAATGTTACGTGTGCGTTTATACCTGGATTTGTTTGATGCTTTTCTAGTAAACTGTTGCAAAAATAGTGAATAAATATTTATTTGGTTATCAAAAGCTGTGGATGTGAGAAAATAAGATTAGAAAGAAAAACTCTACTGCCCAGATTTGGTGACTGGGTTCTGTTTGGATGTACTCACAGGGCCATACAGAAGCAGTGTCAATGATCAGCATCAGCACTGTCAGTGTCTTGATCCCTGTGATGCCCATTACCACACTTGGATCTTGAAAGCTTCAAAGAAAACATTAAAAATGCACTTGTGGTGTTTTCTGGGCACCTGGCTGAGACCTCCTCCTCAAAGTGCATTCCCAAGGCTGTACCCAAGTGAATCAAAACTACAGTTCCTTCAGAGTAGGAAGAGCTCCATTTTGCTCTCTAGAAGCTATCTAGAAGCACAGGGATTTGGAAAGTTCAAAGCTATTTTCACCAAATTCTAAGCATCTCTGCTGAGAAACCTTGGAGGAATCTCTCCAAGCTCAGCTTCAAAAGTTTCTGTGTATCTACACTTTGAAGATCCTAGGTCTAGTTTATATATATATAGATATATACACACCTGAGATAGATATCTAAATAGGTATTGGAATAAAAGTATGATCACTTTTTAATGCTTGTTTAGTTAGAGAGGTGAGACTTAAGGTCTAATCAAAAGCTTTGCTATCCCACTTGCCAGATCAAACCATGTTCTGCTGCAAGAATGAATGTTACCAGGTAGACCAAAGTGACAGAATTAACCATCACATTCTTATAGCACATCCACAGGAGGGAAAACCAGTTTTACCTTTGCCTCTCTTACTCTCCCGAGTCTGAAACAAGCTGGACATCCACTGTGAAGGAAAACACGCATGACCTGAACTGCACTGCTCTGTCCCTGCTGCTGGACCCATAGCAAGGAAATCAAACTGCTGAAGGAAGGCGACCTGCTAACATTTGAAGAGTGAACAACTCTGGAAATAGCAGAGGCATTGCAAATGAGAAGCAATGGTTTTGGAATGTATATCTTAATGGCCTCCTCAGTGCTCAAGGCCCAGAGCTTATCTTCGTGTGAGTAGGAAGGTGCAGAACTTGTAGCTCTTAAATCTCTTTCTAGTGACACAACCTGGAAGATTGGCAGTCCTGCGTTCATCTGAGACAGCAAGGAAAGTTAGAGGTACACAGAGTAAGGAACTACTTACCTCTAATTACGTGCTGCTTGTTCTTGGACCAGTTTCAACACCTGCTTCACTGTCTCAGCAATATTCCAGCTGGCAAATTCCTCATTGGCCCTCTGTGAATGCACTACAAAAACGAGGATAGCTCTTCCCCTTCTGACTCTTTGACTACTGCTGTTTCAGAATTTTAAAGGCTTTCAGTAGAAAGCCAAAGCCAATGAAGAACTGCATTTAGATTTTAGTCTTTACACTTCTTCAAAAAAGTCTTTTTAGCCACGCAGAAAGAAGTGCCATCAGACCTACAGGTTCACAGTATCAATCTTAAAATGCTACTTTTTAGCAGTGGGAGCAGAGAAACACATTTTCTTCCCAGCTCATAATATACCAAGTGATTTCCTGCTCTGTTCCACCCCTCCCCCCACCAGTATCCTGAGTGGCCATAGGAGACAAAAACACAGACAGCAGCAGACCAGGGCTTAAAGCATTAGGATACAACAGATAATTCCCCCCTTTGCCACGTTCCTCTTCATTATATCTGTTGTTTTTTTTTTTAATAGCTGGTTCTTACCCACATCTGACAGTGCAGAAACTTCCCCCACGTAACATTAAGAAATGATACCATTTTAAAGAAGTTATTTTGTCTTTTTTTTTATGTATTGTGCTGTTTCATGGACTGTATATAAATAGATCATCCAGTTTTCCTGTCGTCCATCCGCCTGCAGCACGTGACAGTTTCAAAGAACCCAAATCATACTATTTCTGTTCAGGAGGAAAAACCCCCCCAAACATCTGAGCAGTCAGAGCAGTTCTCCTGTGCACATACTCACGGATAGCTAACAGGATTCTGCTGTGAAACAGATTCTTACTGAGGATCAGGCTGCTGAGTGCTCTCCTGTTACAAACACAGTGCATGGTACAAGTGCTTCATACAATACAGATTTACAGTCAGTGAAATGCAGGCCCTTAAAAACCAATACGTTTTAATAATGAAGTGCTGCATTCTGTAATGGCAAAAACGTGCTAACGTGTCTCATTCAGTTAACTGCAGGAGCTGCACTGTTGTAAGATTAAATCCATGGTGGATTATGCTTCCTCACAACTGAATTAAACCTACATTTCTGACCATATGGTTCAGCACTATTAAACAAACAGCAGCATTGTTTGTACATGTGAAATGAGCAATGTTGAAAGGAGCTGCTTTTGCCAAGTAGAATTACAAAACCCCATAAAATAAATATTTTTTTTTTATTTCGTTCTTTTACAAAGAAAAAATATGATTGAAAAGAACACGTTACACTCCAGCCGATGATCTACTCACACATTCAAAATTCCACTTTAAAAGGTTCTCGTTGGGAAACTCCATTCCTGTGAGCGTTGCCCCAGGCAGTTTTTTACAGAGCAGCTGCCACTCAGGTTTGTAACATGGAGAAAGGCAGACAGAGAGGAGCTGTGCTCGGGGCAGCCCTGCTCCGCTGCAGAAGGAAGGACAAGGTGCTGCCATGTGCTACACAGCTTCCTCCAAGGGAGCTTTCAAGTACGTTGGTGAAGCTAACATGGAACACACAGACTGCCTGAAGGCCTTCACTTCAGTACCTCTGCTACAGGGAAACATTTCTTTTCAGTTATTTTCAAAGTATGTGTACCACAGAGAGGTCAGCAACTTGGTAGCCATCAAGATTACGTACAACTGCAGCACGGGTGATGTTTTCCACATGAAAGTACATAGTTTTAAATGAGATTAAACTAATTATACTTCCAGCTTTTCAAGGCCTACTCATCAGAAACAGAGTACTCCTGAAGGTATTTGCCCTCAGATTTCCTTTTGAGGGCTACATAGCAAAAGCTGGGACTACACAAGGCATTGTGGGCAGAGTTTGGTATTTCTTGTTGCTTTGCTCCTACCTCCTGTAACCAATCGAGTCTCAATAGCAGTTCTCTTTCCTGTACCTCCTCTCACTACAAGGTATCACTTGTTAGATAAAGCTTTTGTGAAGATGACTTCTAGAAAAGAAGCAGTACTCAAACAGAAACATATAGAGACAAAAGAGGTGCTCTCTGCCAGCAAAGCAATGGATGTCCTTTTTCCCCCCTGCATACCTTACATTCTTCATTCTGCCCCTCAGTCCTTCAGCTGACATTCTAGCTATCACCATTTCATCAAACCTTTGCAATGGACAGCATTCTATGTACAGAAATCATTAAAAAAAAAAAGGTTAAAAAAGTTACATCAAGTAAACAGTAAAGAGTCATTTTAAGTAAGTTACACCAAAGAAGAATAGAAGTCACTATGAATGTATTTACACAATTGTTAAAGTACACAAATACAGTGGTAGTACAAATGAAGTGCTCTGATACTGGTTTCCAATACACAGGTTTATACAGACAGTCTAACGATGCCCCGCAGGATGGAATTTAACTATTACAAAGGAGAAAAACTGCCCACAACTGAGAACAATTCTAGAAGTCTGCAATCAACTTTTAAGTATAGCACAGCAATCTAATGTTCCAGATACAGAGAGAATAAAGAGGCTGCTGCCTTTGCAAGTCCCTCTAGCAGTACATTATTAACCACAAATATTTACAAGGAAAGCACGGTGAAGTGTAAAACTGTTCAAATGGTAGTGCACATGCCTAAAATACCAAAGGTTATAGTGACTGAGGAAATAATTCTCTTATGCAAACTTATATATGGATCCAGCTCTTTAGCCTTCCCACTACGCCAGCCAAAACACGCTGCCCTGTCAGACCCAGAGTACACACAAGCAGATACTCAATGTCCTGAAATCACCTGAAAACATCCAAAGGAAAATGAATTGTATTTCATCAGTTGATCTTTTTTGGGGGAGGGAACGGTGAATTTGCACAATTTTAAACAATAAAAATCATTCTTCCTAAAACTTGGAAGGCCAGTAAGCCTTTAACAGTTTGGGTTTTAAGCAGGGAAGAATTTCTTGCAATAAGTAACCTTAAACAACCCTTGTATGTGTATTTTCATTCCCAGCACGGAACCTCTCATGAGTAATAATGGTATGAAGAGTACTTCTGGTACTGTTTCAAGCACTACTTGGACAAAACACTTATTTTTGCATTATGAGACTGTTTACAGTGGCAATAATATAAAGCATTTCCCATATTTAATAAGGACATTTTTGCTAACAACACCTGCAACAGTTTTTTGGACAACCAAAGCGAGCCATCCATTCCTAGCTAATGATTCTAGAAATACTCAGGTTGAATACAGTTTGGAATTAAATATGGTACACACCTGAGTCCTAAAAATCCTCAGGATTTCACAGCAAGAACGCTTTAATTCCTTTTTTGAGCCTTGGCATGAAACAGAAGATGTGAATCAGAAGTGTGGCTGGTTTCTGTTGGAACACACAGATGCTAAATGTGACATTCATTCACCGAAGTGGCAACATGCATTGTCCACTTGCAATACCCTCCAACCTAACCCACCCCAGAGTGCAGGAAACAAAATGGTACCAATAAAAACAGGATTTGAAACCATCCATTTAAACTCCAGTGTCTTTCACTTTGTTCTTCATATTCTTAACAAAAGAAATTGATTTTCACCATTTCTCCTACACTGAGGCCCTCCTGCGGAGTCTTCCGTTCTCTTTTATGCAAAAGAATATTAAGAATTCCTTTGTGTTACATGGGGAGGTAAATGGTAAGTGTGAATGAAGACATTGAACAGTAAAGTAAAACTCTTAACAGCTTTAAAAATTGTGAGAAAACCTTCTCAGTCAGAATGAGACAATACAAAGAAGTGAACGTTTTAAATACAATCAGATGACTTTGATTCATTTACATGCTCCCTGCCAAACTGATTTTAAACAAATTTCAAGTCATTGTCTTTAGTTTAGGATTGCTTGTATTCTACATGTTTAAATCAGAGAAAAGCAAGAGTTCTTTACAGAGAATTAAGCCAATAATTTTAGCAAAATGATACAAAAACTTTCTTAAACCAAGTAAAAGATTTATAGTTACAGTGGAATAATAAAAAGGGGGTAAAGTCTGCCGCCTGTGGAGGGAAAACTGAAATGGCCATCCAGTAACAGACGGTCAACTCTGTAAACCATCTTTCTTCTCCAGCCCTGTTACCACAGGGTTCTCTTAAGGTCACTGGGTTTCTGGCAAGTGTCCTGTAATGGCAGCTGCTGGAGTCTGTCCATGTTCCTCCAAGTGCCTTTTAAGTCACATGGAGAACTCCAGTCGTATTGTTTCCACTCTAGTTCAGGGTATTTTTTGCTAGTAAAGCCATTGATAACATAGGAGATCAGCCATGCATTATCTGCCCTCCATGGCAAAATAAATGTTCATCGGTGCACAGTGGACTGGAGAACACCGGTAGTTACCCGAGCAGGAATCTACCAAAGCCAAAAACAAGACAACATCAGCACAAATCCTTCCAGTTAACACAAGAGTGGCTCTCAATGCATTTTCAAATCATTTGGTGTGAAAAGTGAGAACGTCAATTAATAATCCAGTGAGCTACATGGTGTTTTGCACCCACCTTTACCTACACGAAGTCCCCTGTATTTTCCTCCTTTATTAGAAATTAACATGGAAAAGTTACCTTTCCAGCCAGGAGATGTTTTGAAGATAAGTAAACAGAACATAAGCATGCACAGAAGAAAGACCAAACCAGATGAAATCTCTACTGATGTGCAGAAATAGATTAAACGAATAATAAAGTTTGGAAAAAAACCCAAAAAGGTAAAAAAAAAAAAAAAAGAAGTATATGTATATTCTCAATAGCTTTTCATTTGTTGTTAAGCATTGTGTTAACTCACTGCACAGATTACTTCAGCTTGACCTATTTCAGGAACAGGGTAATATTATTTCAATAACGTGCTGTGAAAGTGAAAAAACAACCACATATCACTGCAATTTAAGCAGCAAGACATATCTAAATAGCTGAATCATTAATCAGCATTATTTTAAAGTTGTAAGCAGCTGCAAATAGTAACATACACATGGTGAAGGCCAAACAATGCAGACACAGCCCTAAGCAGAACAGAATCCGGACTCCTCCCACACAGGTCTTTTCAACACAAAGCTGAATGTTTGCTTTTTTTTTTTTATGGAACAAATTTTTATTTTTCAAACAAGTTCTGATAACTGGAATTCCAAGTGCTAAGCTGCAATTTACAGTTGGATCTTTTCATGTTAAAACAGCTTAAGAAGCAGCCTGTGCACAGTCAGCCAAGCACACAAAGCAGGAGGAAAAAACAGAAGAGAACAGCAGGATTCTTCGGCAACTAGAGATAGAGGATTAGTGCAAGCTTTGGCCTTAGAAAGGAAGTGAGGCAGCAGATGGAGTTAGACAACAGAATTCACTAAGGAACAGAAAAATCTCACGGCTTTTTTTTTTTTTTTTTCCAAACAAGAAGCAAAGCAAAGAAGAGGGTCTTGAAATACTAGGAAAGCTTTCTGCTATCAAAGTTCAGATTCTAACTGAAACTTGTTATTTCTGCGATGAAATCTGTTATTGCCAAAAGCAGAATGGACTACAAAGCTGAAAGTTGCACACAGCGAGGCAGAAACTTCTACTATGCTGAACAGTGGGAAGGAGTTCTAAGTACCCAAATCCAAGTCTGCCTGCCCCGAGATGCTCAAGTTTCAAACGATTCTCATTAGTATCTGAACATTTTTAAAAATGACAGCTCTTAAGGAATAAGGAAGAATATAAAGCATTGAGACCTCTATAGCAGAACATTCCATTAATGACAAGACAAAAATATAGTTAACTGATTCTTCACACAAGCGTTTTGCTTTTACAGTTCTGAAGCTGATCTGTTTTCAAATAGATGATACACTGCTGCAAAACGTTCCTGGAAAGACCAATGATTCTAAACCATCTCCGTTTTAGAGCTGATTACTTTAGTGCTGATGCTTGAGTGATTTTATGGACCCTTCAAGCCACTATTTTTGTCAATTCCGCTCAAACATCCAAATGGAACAGCAGCAGTCATTCAATTTTTGGAAGGACATTTATTTTTACCTTTAGAGAAAAACAATGCTGCATCGAGCATCTGACCGGAAGGCACAGCTCAGCTATGAGATGCGAGAAGAAGCAAAGACTGATGTTTCCAAATGCTTTTCCCCACCCCAGCCAAAGCTTTGGTGTCTAAGGAGAAGGACTCACCCTGTGCTGCCTTCCAACGAAAGGAGACGAGCAGCTACTTGCCATGGTGTTCGAAAGGAATGCTATTCTGAGGTAGGGGAAAAGACAGCAATTTGTAACGGTTCCACTGCCCCAGTATATAAAGATGTCTACAAATATCCAACCTAAATTGGCAGTTGCAAACGTATCTTTTGAAGAGCTCTGATTTCAGATTTCTATCAGACATTTCTACCATATTAAGAGATACGTACAAGGAACAAATCATTAGCCTTCAGGGAAAGCAGATATGATCAGAAGAGCAACACAGAGTACGATGCCTACTAGGATATATATATGGAGAAAGATTTGCTCATAAGGAGATGGAAATTGCAAAGGCATTGGGAGTATGTTGCCTTTTCCCAGTGAAGTGGCACAACACTTCAGCTTCTTGATGCCAGTGTTGGCTACAGTTTTCTAAAAACCTCTATTTTCAAAGAGACCTGTTCAAATATTTCTTTGTGCAGCACTCCAATCTCTTCTTCCAGATAAGGAGAGATACATTTGTTACCAACAGGAATTATAACAGCTTTGACTCTCAGGTGCTGAACATGCCAAACTCAGGAGAAAAAAAAACAATAATATCGAGCAACTTACTGTGCACCACGAGCAGTCCAACTGAAGCAGGCTTTCACAGGACCAAACCTCTTGTGTATGAAAATGAAGGCTACTCACCTGCACCTACACTCTTGGGATGATCACTGCATACTCAAACTTTTGTGACGCAGTCTGTGCAGTCCGGACTGACAGAACTGATTCAAAGCAGTGTTTATAGGAATCCTCATGCCTTCTTCACTAAGTTTTTCTTTTATGTTTCACAACTGACTACATATAGGAGACTTAGTGAACAACTCATTCATACAGCTTAAGAGTACAAGAATCTTTAAGCTGCTGGTGCAACTTTTCTGCCCTGTTCCTATTACAACACTGCACTGAGATGAGTAATTTAGGTTTGCTTTAGCTCTGAATATGCAACCTGGAAAGGAAACCAGTTCTTTCTTGCAAATACAAAGGGAGCAGATGATCCTCTGTCTTTTAGAAGCTGTCTCACTGGCTGTCTTTGCTTAGACCTCTGCATCACTCTTCCCCAAATATGAGTATTTTAACTGAGCAAAAGGAGCTTTATGTATATTTTCTGCATAAACTTAAGTTAGAACAATAACTGTTGTTGCCAAAATTCTGCTTCAACTAAATCAAGGTGATCTCTCATCTTTCAGACAAACTAAAAAGACCAAAAGACCTCATCATACATCGTGCTCTCCCAAGCACAATTTTCACAGCTCTTCCGTTACTTTCAGTTTCTCAGCAGTTCAAGATATTGAAGACTGAGCCAGACAACATTCCAGTACTCATCTCATTAATGACATGAAAAACCTTCTCAATTCCTTTTAAGTACTGCATCATATACATATTCAAGGATGAAATTACACCTTTCCATTATGACATCACACTGACCTTTGCAACACAGAACTGCTGCCTCCTCAATCATTACCTATCACAGATATATAGAAACTATATGAGACAATGTGCTTCACTTCCTGATTATGATCAGATTTTGGAGTCCTGCCTTACACCTTTTATTTGATTAGGCTTTATGTAACTGCCCAGCTCTCACCACCATTTATCATCATCAAAACACCTTGAAAACCTGCAGTTTCTTAACTACTGCATTCACTCTCTACCATCAATAAAAGTACAAATAGCACAGGTTGCAGAATTTCTCACTTCACAGGTAACACTAAGTTTCACAAACCCTTTTTGGAGACATGCTAGTTGTTATCTGAATAAACTCCTCTTACTTAGTGCTATAAAGTGCTAATAGCTTTAATGGGGATGACTGAGGTACAATGCCTTGAAGGTGGAAATATGGCTATGGCCCATTTTGCTACTCTTACCAACCACTGGTTTTCCACGAGTGTCAAATTTCTCTGATCAGATCTATTTTTTTTGTAATGGAAGTTTGGTTTGCACCATCTACCTTCCCAACCTTTGTTTTCAGTTTCAGCCCAAACTGATTTAAAACTATTTGAGAAAAAAACCCAAAAACAGTAGGATAGATAAAAACATGGAGTCATCTTTAACACCACCACTTCACTGAGTAACACCTACGTGTTTCCATCACCCAGAGTTCAACAAGCAGCAGCCCTTTCTCTGGGAGTTGAAATTATAGATGCAGTGTTGCCTCCAAAGCATCCGAGTAACGTAACAAAACGAATCAATCCAGTTATAAGTAACAGAACATTTGGATTTTAACCCAAGGCATCTGTAAATCTTGACAACAAAGTTTAAAAGTTGCTTTCTACCTGGTCTGTGGTCTAAGCACTTCCTGAGAAAGTGTAGCAGATTTTCCCAAGGTTCCCAAAGGAAACTAATATATCTGAAAACAGACATGGATAGGCAGTTGCTGTTCTTTACTGTTTTCATGATAAGACACGGAATACTTTTTTATTTTTAATTAATATAATTTTTAACCTACTCAAAATTGTCCTTAATAGCCTTGCCATGCAAGCTGGATACTTGCTATAGCTATAAAGTAAAATTGAAGTCAACCTCTCTTGCCTCCTCAATCTGATAGGCCTATGGGAAATTGTTCAAGTTATATTCTGGTTGCATACTGTTATTCAGCCACCACTAATGGTCAGCAGCTGTTCACTGCCTTGGTAAGAACTAAGGGAAAATGACAGGTGATGAATGATTAATTCAACAAACCCAGAGAAGAACCAGACTGGCTGCTATTATAAAGAAGTCAAATTCCATACTTGGAGTGATTCCATGCTTGAAGCAGAGTGCTCAAGGGTGGGTACAGAGATATGCAATCACACCACAAATTGTATAGCTGGCAATTTAAAGATCACTCAAAAAAAACCCATCCATATTCCTACACAATCTCAAGAGTATGCTTATTTTACAAATTGGACAGAATCAAAACCCATCTGCAAGCCCATCTGCATGTTTCAAACCTTAAACGCATAGAAAAAAATGCAATGTATGCACTGAGCTTCAAGTCAGTACTACAGAAAAAAAGCCTTCAAGATACACTCAGATTAATCAAGTTTAATTGCCTATCACAGCCAAGTAACATAATTACACTTACGTCTGTTACACCCTTGCCTGACTGGCAACAAAGTACCTGAAATTTGCTTAGAATGTCAGAGACATTCATACTTTACTAGGAAACCATCTTTACATTTGAGCAAATATTCAGGATCATGACCTCACAGTATAGCCGAGGTCAGAAGGGACCTCTAGAGATCATCTAGCCCAATTACACAGCCCAAAGCACAGTCAGCTGGAGCAGGCTGCTCAGGACATGGTGCAATGGGGATTTGAACATTTCTAAAGACATTCCACAACCTCTTAGGTGAACCTGTTCCAGCGCTTGATCGCTGTCATAGTGAAGGTCTTTTTTTTAAAGTTTAAGTGAAATTTCATTTTACTCTGTCCCCACTGCCCCTCATCTGTTCACTAGAGAACACCAAGGTGAGTCAAGCTGCATCTTCTCTACATGGACGCATGAGGTTTTTTTGCATACTTGATGTTTGTCTACCCAGAGCCTTTTCTTCTCTAGACTAACTGAATCCAGTGCTCTCAGCCTCTGCTCATATTTTAGATGATTCCTTACTCATCTTTTTGGCCCTGCACTGACCTTGCTCCTCCACAATGCTCCTCTCCTGTACTGAGGAACCCAGAACTGCAATGGTGCTTCCAAAACTCCTGATCTGTATTTTGCCATGCTCTATACAGGAGTATAGATAACCAGAACCTAAGTATGCACTGTTCTGCTCTTTTAGTTTTGGTACTACTTTTAAAAACACATCTCTGCCTTGAAATACTACTTTTGGAGGCAGGAATTGTACTTCAGTGAGTAACTTATACTGGCAAGACCTGCCACTAAAGACAACACAAAGCCTTACCTGTGAACTATTTTCATCCAGCCATTTCTGCTCCTGCATTGTTCACTCCTTGTGCAACTACATTGTTCAACTCTTCATTCAGTTGAAAACTAACCCCAAAAACCCCACTCCACTTTTGTTACAGCACAATTGCTTTCCAATCCAATTCAGCCTCTACCTGCTTGAATGAGGAATCGTATTACTGCACACATAATTCAAGCAACCAAATCATCCAGATGAGATGATCTCCAGACGTCCCTTCCAGCCCTTCTGTGATTCTGTTATCTTAAAATTATCTGCATTACTACCCAAGGATCTGAAACTTAGAGCTTTTTTTTTTTTTTTTTTTTTTTAAGAAATCCAAAGTAGCACTGCTCAAATCCAAATGACTGACATCTTGAAGTTCAAGATCTCGATCAAAAGCTAAAGCCAGGCCCACTGCTAAAGGGATACATGGCACCATCTAGACTTGGAGACCTTTGATGTGGATATGCCTAAAAGTACTGAAATAGTTTTACAGTTTCCAATTTCTCATTTGGTTTTTGGCCTGTTTCTATCCCCATTATACAGCTGAGGGAAGGAAGTTTCCTTCTTTCCTAAAAGCATTTTGAAATCGATTAAAGAAGAAAAACTTCTTCAATATGAGTATTCATCATCTTTGCCTTCTTTTTGCAACCTCATTCCATCTCACATGCTTTTATTTTATTCTCAGAAAGAGAATGAAGTCAGCTACACATTTATATTTTACTAGATTCCATAATACTTCTGTTGTCTGAACTTTTTCATTTATGCTGTAGGCCACAATGTTGAATCTATGCACAAAAAACAACCTTGCTCCTTCAGTCTTCATTAAAGACACCCACCTCATCTTTATCTAAAAGAAAGCTCTCTAGAGTGCTAAGGATTTATGTATAGAAACATGTATTATCCAAAATACTTAATTCTGCCAATTAAGTTGTGCAGTGAAAAGGAACTGAATTTATTTGTATTAACAGCTCTGACAACAAGGAATAGTATCAGTTCACAGCAAAGATTATGTAGTTAGATCTCCAGAACTGTGTTGAGAAATTAATTGAAAATCTGTAGGCAACTGTATCAATCCTCCTAACATTTTCAGCTCTATTGCAGTGTACCAGTGCTGTGCAAGTAAGGCTGAAGATAAATGACACAAAGCCATGCTACTCACTACTTAGTCTATGTAAATGCCTTAAAAAAGTTTCAGCAACACAGTGAGACCTAAAATATATTTAAAATATTATTTGCCAGCCTTAAAATTAAGATCTCAAAATCAGTGAGGATAATTTCAGTGCAGACTACAGCTATGAATCACTGCATCGTTCATACTCCTGCCATCTTCTCCAACTGAGCCTACTGCGATCTCTCTATCATTCATGCATGTGGCTTCTTATCTGCTTGGAATTAAAGTACTGCATTACAGTATTTCTTGATTTCTACTCTTTTCTGTTTTTTACCAATCATTCGTTGTCTATTCTGCATCAATAATCTCTGCTCTATTCATTTGGAAACATGACTTTCACCAACTGGAGAACCTGTAATTTAGGGTAAGTATTCTTCTAGGTTTTTTGCACAATACATACACCAATGACTCCTTCTGTACTTTGAGGATTTTATGATTTTTGCATAAGACTATAAAAACAATAAAATATTACAGCAGTCTACACCAACATCACAAACATTCGGGCCAAATTTCAAGTATTTATTCAACTCAACATTGTCTGAAAAATCAGTATGAGATCACAAGAATTACTTGGTATGTTCAGCTGGCAAATTAACTGTATCAAACCACACCCATTCTTCCATTACACAAGAATTTTTTTTACCTGTGAAGTGGACATGCGAGAGGTGTCTTGTCGGCCCGTTAAGTCAGACGATGAGACATTGACAGGGGCACCACGGTGCAACCTCATACTCACTTTTCTTTCTCGTTCCATACCAGACACTGGTCGAGGAGATGTGTTGGCTGCAAGAAAAAGTGCATTCGAATTTTCAGAATGAGGAATGCAATAAGAATGCAATCAATGGAAAAAATTACGCTGTTTGCACATGTAAATTCTACAAGATCAAACCAGAGAAATCAAGGCTTTCATCTTATATTCACAGATAACTCTAAGTAGCAATTGGCAATGAGTGTGTGTAATTTCCATAGATTGAAGGTAAAGTTAAAAAGGAAAAACAAAAAACAATCAGGCAAACAAAAAAGCCCAAATGCTGACTCACTCAAACAAATACCACTCCCATATCCTTATTTTATTTTCAAATTCCAATGACCAGGAACAAACTGCAAATTAGAGCAGTCTGTGAGGTGTATCTGCCCACGTATTTGCTTACTTACCAGCATGTGAAGTTGGGGTAAGAGGAGTAGGAGGAGCTACATCTTGTGTTCCCCTCAGCCTGCCAGAAGCAGTGGAGGGCAATCCACGCACAGCTGGGTTCCGTGTATGCCTCAGCCTCTCCTCTCGTTCTCTCCTTTCACGTTCAGCATCTTCAGCCCCTCTGCTTGCACCCTATGGGTCAGGACTAGTGAACAACTTAAGGGATTACTGAGCTTACAGCTATGCATTTGGATAAATATTGAAAATAAAGAACTAAAGTTTTAAGAACTTGACGTGTGATTGGGTATCAACATCTTGATAAGATTTCTTGAGAACAATCATAGAATCAGTGCATGGAATTGCTGGGAGAGTCTTCAAATTGCTAATACACACACATACTGTTAAGGCAGTTGGACACTTCCTAAACTGTTGCACGTGACCTGTGCTAAAGATCAAGATAGGAGAAAATAGGAATTCAGCTACCAACGTGGCAACTGCCTAAAAGGAAGGACCTTAGGAAGCCTCCTACATTGACAATCCTGTAACTACAATTTTGGCATTAAATACCAATCTAAAGCCTTCTGTATGTCCTGCTTTTCCCTACTTCCCCTCCCCTTGTTTTTAAGGCAATAAACCTTCTGGGACAAAACACGCTTAACGTACCAGTTAAGAACCCAAAACTGACAGTATAATAAAAAAACCAGCATTACAAAGAATTGTTTTAGAAAGCCATGCCAGCTACTCACAAATTTCAGCATGTTCCAGTCAAACACATAGTCATAGGAGAAGCCTTGTCGGTGGAAGAGGTTTCTGAATAACTGCCTTAGGTAAGAGTAGTCAGGTTTGTCATCAAAACGAAGAGAACGGCAGAAGTTCAGGTATGTGGCAAATTCAGCTGCAATAAAAGAAAGCCTGTTTTTCTCTTTCAGCTTCACATTTTTTTATGGTTCAGAATCATTAAAAAAAACAAAACACAGAATCTCCCAAACATAAGAATGCTGAAGTAATACTGTACATCTACTGAAAGCAACACTATATTATCCCCTCTGCCAAGAATGGTCTGAAAAGAAAATTATTTGTCTATCACAGATCAGGCAAAGACTCCATTTATCAATAGCAGGGAGGACTGTGTGAGGATGAAGAAGAAAGGTTTAAAACTACATTTCAGCAAAGAAAAGATTTTACTAGCCTTTCTTTGCTCTGAATGCATTTAAACTTAATGTACAGCAGGGCACAGATTAGCATCTCTCTGCTAAAATACCAACTATGCAGCAAAACCAGAACATTGTTGTGAATTCAGTGCTCCAGAGACACATCAGTGTTTATCTACCAGCTCTTGGCTTCAAGGCTTTCCAGCTAAGATGACGTATTAATAATTCACATTAAGTAAGGAATTCTAGCAAACAGCACAAGAAAAGTTGACTATCTTCTGTCTGTTAACACCAGAGGAAAGAAATAGTTCATGAGTAAAGGAACATGCACAACAGGACTTTTGAAACACTCAAGAGAAAATAAGCTTTCATACAACTCTAACCATAGCTACAGTTCCCATCATCATACTTAGCTGACAAAGGACAGGGCAAGGAAAGAACAGAGAGAGACCACTTCATGAAAGGTGAGCAATATTCTTTGAGCGTAGCTAATATGTTAACAAGCTTTAAAACCATTATTCTGCACGGATCAGAAATTCTTATTTATTACTATGGTGTAAATACCAAATTAAGAAACAGTTTTGAGGGATGATGCCAGGATTTGGAGAAATTCTTACACACCTCACACATACTGGCCATGGTCAGGCCAGACTGGATGAACCTGGAATGACAATTCCAGAAAAAGACTACTGTAATAGGTGTAACTGACTGTACTATCTGGTTTATCCAAGAAAGAATATCCACATGCAAAAAGATGGGCAGCTACTCAAAAAGATATTTGGCTGTCAGAGTCATCCAGCCAGTATCTATGCATGCACACACAACACAGCACAGATCACACACACCATGCTATCTTTCAAACTCAAGAGCACCACAGTGATTGCTTACTAATAGTTAAGACAGAGACTAAGTAGAAACAGTTTATAAACACAGAGATTCTTGTCTTGAAAGCACGGCGTCGTTACCATGAGTATGCCCAATTTTAGAAAAAAAGTCAAGATGACTGTAAATATGCTTTAAACATTCTGACAGAGGAGCTAGACAGCATAAGTAAAAAAACAAACCACTAAAAAATGAATACGTGGACCTAGTGCCACAAAAGAACAACTTACAAGGATATCCTTTACACAAAACCTCAATGGGTGTAGACATTTTCTTTTCACTGATACGTTCGTATTTCTGTCTCTTTGTTGCTGCTTTCAGTCCCTGCCAGGGGAGGGAGCCCAGGTTAAAATACATCAGTACATAGCCCAAGGACTCCAAGTCATCTCTGCGAGATTGCTCTACAACAGCATAAAAAAGTGGACTCATTAGGTTTCATTATCTAGTGGAAATAAAACAGAAGACTGAGCAATAATGTGTCAAAAATCCTTAAAAAACAACAGATAGATGGAAGTCACTACATCCATGTTAAACTCACCCAGCACTAGAAAAAAAAAATTATCACCCTTGCAATTACTGAAGAAATGTGTTAACTCCTTAGAATTACAAACTGAACCCCACCCCAGGAGGCATAAACCCAAGTGTACTGTGTCACAAGTGCCAGAATAGGGACTGTCCTCTATGCCCCCAAAAAGCAACATCAACTTGCACTGAAAATATGTGCATCAGCACTTGTGAAGGTTCTATTCATTGTTTTTCCCAGCTCACCAATTCCAAGATGAGTGTTGATGGATGCATAACGAGCAGTTCCTGTTAGGTTTTTATTCTCACGATATGGGATATGTTGGTGAGTTCGGGCATCCCGATACTTCTTTGCTAATCCAAAGTCTATGATGTAGACAAGATTGCCTTTCTTCCCCAGGCCCATTAGGAAGTTATCTGGCTTCACATCTCGGTGGATGAAATTCTTAGAGTGAATATATTCAATTCGACTGATCTACATACAGAGGACAAAACAAGTGAGATATCAGTTGTACCCTTTTCTCTCAGAAAAACACTAGCAACGTTATCACTACTATCACATTATCTTAGTGGTAAACCAGATAAAGAAGATTTTATTGCAAAAGGGCATTAAAGAAAATAATTTGGAAGACAATAAATATGCCTTCCCCTCCAGCTCTTCCTCTGTGTCTATTTTACATTTGTTTCTAAAAACTACCTTCATATTTGAGCCACAACATCAGGCTTGCAAACTGCTCACATCCAGTTTTAAAACCAAGTTAAAACTCTGTAACCACTTTTGATATAACATTTTATATTTAACAAAACTCATTTTGAGTTCTCCCCCTCCCCCCTCCAATGATACATCCTATTCACCTCTAAATAAATATAAACAAAAAATATAAATAAAATACAGCTGGCCAGGGTCACTCAAGACATTTTAACCTTAACATACTTTGCAGTCACAAACAACAATGCAGTTCCCTACCATTTGGTCAGCAAGTAACAAGACTGTCTTGAGACTAAATTTCCTTGAACAAAAGTTGAAGAGGTCTTCAAGACTCGGTCCCAGCAGCTCCATCACCATGACATTGTAATCCCCTTCAGCACCACACCACTTAATAGTGGGGATACCCACTGGAAAAAAAGGAAACAGTTTATTAAGCATAATAATTTCATTTATGAAGTTGGTACACACAGATCTTCAGGGCTCTTTAGGTGAGCTCCAAGAGTCATTACTGTCAATGTTTGTATCTACAGTGACCCTTAATATTTGAGGCATTTTGAAATTAAGTGTTTGATCCCTTTACAGCTGGACCAACACAAAACCGGAGCTCAAGAGATCTGAAAATAGCTGCCTTCTTGCCCAGTCCCCTCCCAGCCTTTGCGTTTTGCTTGCAACTTGCAAGTAGCCAGTGGTTTTGCTGGATTTCAACCTTAAGTGCTTTGCATGTATAAACATTCATAGAGCCTCCAAAACAACAATAAGGAGAAAATCAGAACCCTGAAAAAAAAAAAAAAGACACTGAAACCACTGAGTTTTATTGCTAGAAAAGGCTTTAGAAATCAAATTATTAGTTTCAAAGCCTACAAAAATCAGTGTAAAATAGCTCTTTTAGGTTACAATTTGGAATGCATTTTCACCCTTGCTTCATGTTCTTGCTTTCCCTCCAGTTCAGTGACATTTGTTGTTTGGTGAATTCCTACCAAGACAACATTGTTCATGAGAAAGATTATATACCGCTATACATCTAGATGGAATTTAAAGTCAGCTTCACTTTATGGAGAAATTTGGGAAATTATTCCACAAAGAACTGAAAAAATGCTCAGATGTATTGAATTAAACCTGCAGATAGCCTCAGACAGGATTTCAAATATCTTTAATTATGCACTTTAGAAGTGAAAAAGTATAGAAACACTTCTAGAATCACAGAATGCCTTGGGTTGAAAGGGACCTTAAAGACAACCCAGCTTATAACCATCTAGATTGTAATTAATTCACTTAGAATTTTCACTCTTATTTACTGCAAATTACTTTTTCCTAAATTCCTTTCACAGAAAAATCCTTATTTGGACCATTACTAAACTTCTGCCATCTACCCCTGCACTATTCATTGTGAGAAGACGCCAACATGGCCTTCACAAACCCATACAAGAAATATTCTACCCCTCATTACATGCAGGTTTTAATGAGACTTTTACATTGCAGAACTCTCAAACATGACTGATTTCTCCCGTGGGCTAGGATAAATACCACATGGATACTTCTCTCCTGTTCTCTCCTACTAATGCCATTATATCTTAGAACACCTACTGCAAGGAAGTATCTCAGAAGAAGGAATGCTAGCACATGAAACAAAAAATTACCCTGAATTTACTAAGTTTAGAATTGTGCTCCTACATCAGAGCAAACCAGTTTAAACCCTACCTCACATAAGAACTGAGGCAGCGCTCTTCACTTATTCTTCCACCTTTCCCACTATTGAAAGAGCTCTGAACCATTAAATACTTACTGGTGGCAGATACATCAAATACAACAAGAAAGAAAAACAACAACTCAATTTCTGAAGAATGAAAGTTTGCTTGCCTCCACCCTGCATCATTTTGTAGATTTTACTCTCGATGTGGAGTTGAGGATGTTTGGTTTTCACACATTCCAGCTTAATTGCAACCTCCTCTCCAGCAGCAATATCAGTTCCTAAAACAAGAAAAGTGTAAAATATTGGTTAAAGTATTTTTAGGGTGAGTTTCCTTCGTCGAGACTGAAACAAAACAAAAAAGGACAAGTTAATTTTCAATGGCAAAGATTCAGAGATTAAGTCATTGAGATTAGTAGCTTAAGAGAAAAGCATTAGGTATTGTAGCTCAGGAAACCAAGACCTGCTATCCTACACAAAAAAACAGAACTCAGGTGTGTATTGAGAGGAGTCCCTCCTTCCAGCTTGCAGTGCTCAGAATGGATGTTTTTTAAGTGTGATGAGTATCCCTACCAACCCACGGAGTTTTTGTTTCAGGAAACTGATTTACTTCATCACTTTTGAAGAAACATGTACAGGAAAAAACCTCACATTCTTAAAAACTGGTAACAAGGCAAGAAAAGCCACCACAGCAGAGCAGCACGACTTAAGAACTATAAGAAATAGGGTTTAGTATTTTTGTGTGACACTTCTCAGCTATAGAGCCAACTCCCTACTTGCAGAACGTGGCTCTCTGCTCCATTACCTCATAGTTTAGGATCACATGAGGTGCCATCATCTGTTATTTGTTCTTATCTTCGTTTCCAAAAGCTTCCTTGGAGGTCTGCTTTTTGTTAGCAAAGGCAGTAAGTGATCACACTATGCACTCTTTATGACACCCAGGATTTCATAGACTTCTGTGGTATTTTACTCTCTTATAACTCATCAGTGCTCAAAAGCTCTCCTCATTCTTCATGCAAGTCATTTTTACTGTTCTATTTATTCCTTGTTTCACTCATTTTCACCACTTCCAGCTCGACAGTGCCCATTCTGAGGGTTACACACCATGACTAAGAGACAAACACACAGTTATCATTTTTCCTGCTTATCTACATTTCCCCCCCATGCTTTTCTCTGACTGTTACCGAGTACTAAACCATATTTGCAGAGCTACTATCATTGCAAAATCTTCTTCTTGGGATTAAAGAGCAACTTCAGAGCTTTATCATCTCGTGGGTATAAAGGCAGTTTAACACCTCATACCACAGACTTCAGTGACGTGCACTGAATTTCCTGTTGTTTCACTGGCACATCATTTGAAACTGACATCTTCCCATCTTGGCAGTTTGCAATTAGTGTTATGAATATAAATAAATTCATGCTGTTATTCAGCTGTGTTACCTCAGAATTCCATCCATCCTCAGGTTCTTTTACGATTACACTGAGTAACTCTGGCTGTAATGCACTGCCAATGAACTCAAACTGTTAACCAAGCCTTTTGCTCTACCCTCCACTTCTACCTTTAAAGCAATGTTTAACTCATATACAAAGATTCAGCTTTATGCCACAGCACCTTCATTTCTCGTTCACCACCAGCAAGGTTAATTAGGGTAACACAGGCAGATCCATTACCTAAGGATCAAGGCAAGTTTATTTCATTCTGAAACTACTTCATGTGCTCTTGAGCACTCGCAGGGTACAAACACCACCTCTAACCTTCTTAATAAGTAATCAAAGCTCCCAATGAAACCTCTCCCTCATTTTCTTCATATTTCCCACAAGTCTTTGAGGAAACAAAGAATATGAAGCAGTCTGAATCTACAGGACCCCCCTTGGATTTCTGTCTGCTGAAGTCCAAACATTACAACCCTTTGAAGGAATGCTCCTTGGGATGCTTTGTCTCAAGGCACCCAACAGAATCCAGTGTCACAGCCTTAGCATAGAAACCAACCATATGAGTTTCTCCAGACAGCTCTTCTCTACCATTCAATAAGCAGACCAAAACACAGGGTACTGAAAGGTACACCCTGCACACAGATAGCTGCAGACATCTGTGTCTGACCAGGCCAAGGCCTGCAGAAAGGCAAATCAAGATTTGCTGTATTCCCCTATCAAATTCTGCTCACTGCTGCTCAACAAACCACGATCTCAACACAGGAGATCATTTCTGGGGATATTTGCTCTTCCCAAGAGGCCTGCATCACCTATGATGGATAAAGTCCTCAGCCAAGACTTCACTTCTATACACACCCCCTCTGTGAAGATTTTGCTATTAAAAATAACATAATTAAAATATGAGTCTTGCAGGGAATGAAAATACAAATCATTCTCCCCAGTAATGCAACTCAAAATGTTCAGTTCCTTCTTCACACAAAGCATGGCACAAATTTCTAAGATAATTTTGCAACGACAAAAGGATTCGTTTCCTTTAAGAAAAATGTTAAAATAATCAGCAGTGTTACAACTGATAATTAAAAAGCAGCACAAGCAGCACAATGAGAAGAGGCACAGTATGGAGGCAAAAATAACAAGTCATGAAAATATTTCACTTTGAATAGGAAAATTCCAAGTTGAAATTTCAAAATCCTCTGCCGAAAGGAAAAGCTTAGAGGTTACTTTAATTAGTTTACAACACAAAGACCACCTCTAGGAAAAGAGATGCAGTGAAGAAGTCGTGAAAACACAGTGCCTGCAATGCCTTCATGACTCCTATCTGTTTGACCTTGTAGGTGGAGCCAAACACAGATGCTTACCCTGATTCTTTTCCTGAACACTGCTCATCTTTTCTGCTATATAAGATATCTGACAATCCAAGCTGTTCTTTCCTCTGGACAGGAACTTCAGAAGACAGAGGTACACTGAATTCTTCACTTTTATTTTCTTAAAACTGTCTATGGTACTTCATTCACCATAGCATCTCAGAGCTCTGTGCTATGGACCCTGTTATGCTAAGTGAGCCCAGAAGAGCTGTAATATTTCCCTCCCAAGCACAAAACAGATGGAAGCTCACAAATGTACTGAGAGCTATCAGAAGTGATTGTACTTCAATTAATTAATCCTAAGCTCTGAAAGAATGCAAGAAGTAAATTGTACATAGCTATGTGCACTGCCTGAACGACCAAGCAGAGCCTTTTTGTTGTTAAACACATTTCATTATCACCAAAAGCACAGATTTTGAAAGCCTCTGTTTTGCCACAAACGGCTGGCAAAGCAAACCATCCTCTACAAAAGACCACAATATTTAAGTTCTTGACACAGCATTTTCCCTTGGAAACAGATAACTGTGCCATTAGCTGGATCTTTAAGGCAAATCATTCTCTGCTAGCGGATGGCTCAGGAATCACACTTGTAAAATAAGGTGTAATTATCAATCCACACTGATTACTGAAGAACAACAAAATTTGAGGCACGCACAATGCTCACAGTGAGAACTAATTGTAGATCTACACTGAGAACGTAGGGATAAAAAGGACAACATCTGAGGATTAGGAATTCTTGCACAAAAAGTGGCAGGAATAAAGACAGAAATACTGATGCCTGAAAGCCTTTCCTGCTGTGGGCTGTATACATAAAGATAAAAGTGACAAATGAAATCATTTCCCAGCCAGCTTCCATACATGGGAGAGTAACAACTGAGTTGTTTAGCTTCTACCCAGCAGTTAATCTGGATTATAAAGCACACATTTATTCTACTTGCACTTTAAAACTGTACTCTTCACCATTTAATTTACAGCAGTCAAACCTTTAGTAGGAACACCTCAAATCACAGCAAGATGTTTCAGATTTTAACTGCTGCCTTAAAGCAGCAATGGTTGCTAAAGAAGATTTTGCATAAGTGTCACCTCACTCACAGCACTCTTCATTCTTTTACAATCACATCCTCTGCCTCTACACAACCACATGGCTGGAAACATAGAATCTTCATCAAGATGATGATCTGTATTATGGATAACCAGCGTTTCATTACCCGTAATTAAGAAGCTTCAGCTAACAAATCATTTCAGAAGACCAACTGTGCATTGCAACACAAAAAGGTATAGTTGCCTAGAAGTAAAATACATTTATGTTCTGTGTACACCACCATACATGAGCTAGGGATGTTTTCACTCCTCAGACATGTGAATTTAGCCTACTTTAATGCCTGCAAGTTCCTCCCCTCCAGTTATTTGTTCTACTTTCCCCGGTTACCTCAAAGTTCAAACATAAAAATGCTCATTTCTATGTGGCAGCATAAATATCTGGATCTACAGGGAATATTTATGTATATTATCTATTTATAATATCTATTTCTTACAGTTTGAGAGTTTGTAGAATACTGTGACTACCTTCAACACCCCCTTTTTCAGAACTTGGTGTGCCCAGTGCCTGCTGGCACAGCTGGAACCATCAGCAGTGAGCCATTACGACAGAAAGCTCCATAAACCAGCAGGTAAAGGCAGTCCTATCCCACAGACTTCACAATCACATACAAATTGCAGCAGCAAAATAAGCTACACACCTTAAGACACAAAGGGCAGCGTTCAAGCAAGAGGACAACTGAACTGTACTGATTTTTAAGGATTTGATGCATTTTTAACTTGTCATCCCTTAGCTGTGTGATATTTCTTTTTAGGCCTTGTAGGAGAAAGCAGCATCCCTGTGACAGCGATTTTTCCCAGTGCACTGCGGTGATATTTAATGCTGATGCTCGTGTTTCTTTCCCCAAACCTCTTCCCCTTTTACAGACGAGACAAATCACGATGCCCAAGGTCACCAAACAACAACGTTAAGAGGCAGCCAAATAATCCAAGAGTCCTGACGTCCACGCTGTCTAAATTAGGACATGATGTGAAAGAAACATCGCGCTGTGCTGGCAGCGAGGCACGACGCACCAGTGGCCATTTCCCGGCGGGCAGCGCTACCTGAGCTCCGTCAGGGTGAGGCGAGGCCCGGCGGGTCGCTCCCTGAGGGCCGGGAACGGGCAGGAGAGCGGCGCCCAGCCCGACCCCAATGTTCTCCACAGACCCTCCCGGTACGTCCCCAGCGAGCCCCGCTCCTTACCCAGGTAAATGTCACCGAAGGAGCCGCTCCCGATCTTCCGGCCCAGCCGGTACCTGTTCCCAACCCTCAGCTCCATGGCGGCGGTTCGTTTCGGCCGCGACCCGGTTCTGACGCTCTGCCCACCCTGCAGGCCCGCGCTCTTCTGTCTCACAGCCCCGCCGTTCCCGGTGCCATCGCGGCCTCAGTCCCGCCGCTCGGTGCTGGCGAGGCGGGCAACACCGCCCTCGTAACTCCTGAGAAGGATGGACGCGGATTCCACACAACGCCGACCCCTCAGCAACTCCGGCCCCGAGCGGCCATACTGCGTGACCTCACTTCCTTAGCAACGGGGGCGGGGCGCGCTGCCTGTGGCGTTGCCACGGAGCCGCCATATTGTGTGAACTCACTTCCTTAGCAACGGGGGCGTTGCCAGGGAGCGTGGGCGGTGTCCCGCTTCCGCGGACCAGTTTGGCTTCTCATCTGCCCTTCCCATCGCGCTCCGTAGCCTGCGCAGCCGGCCTGCCAATCGCTACTGCGCATGCGCTTCCTCCCCCTAACCTGTCTGCTCCGCCAGTGTCTATGGTCTCCGGTCCTCCAGGAGCAGTAACACGCATGCGTGTACAACGCGGTAGTGGCGTCTTTGCTTTTACCTCTCTGCGCCGCCAGTCCTCCAGGATTTATGGTTATCAGTCCTCCAATTTCCTTATAATATGGTCTTCAGTCCTCCAGACAATAACTTTCACACACACAAAAAAACTTTCACATGCAAATTAATTTTCTTTTTTTCTTTGGTTCACAAATAAAAGCAAAAAAAAAAGTTCAGCCCTGTGGTAATGAATATAATTTAGACCAAGATATAAACATCTAAGAAGCAGTATTTTCTAATGCTATGGGAAGAAATAAAATCACCCTGCAGTCATTCCAACAGCCCTCGTTACAAGTTACCGTTGCTCACTGCAACATTTGTTTTGCAATGCAATTTCTGAGAAATTACCAGCAAAGAACTGTTACCGTTAAGCAGGTATTCTTTCTTAGTGGCACTGGGGATAATTACGCCATAAGCGCTTCTAAGATTTCACAGATAGTACATATTCATAATTCCTTCACGAAGTAATTAACATATACACGCCTATCTCAAGAAATGGCGCTCGGTCATCTATTTCACGGTTTCTGCTGCCACCTAGTATCCTGTCAGTATCACGACAGCCCACTCGACAGCCTCTGGCTTCCTCCACCGACCTTCCTCGCCTGCCCTCTAGATGAACTCTCTTCATGCTCAGGAATGCCTTCTAATGCCTATTAGAAGTAATTTATAGGTACCAAACCCGTAACATTTGCCTACTCAGCCATCTGAACATCTGTTATTCCTGGGATAGACATAAGTTCGGCATCCTGCCTTTCAATGATATGCTGAGGAATCAGAAAGGAAGGAGGATAGGGGGAATATCTTGATGCCAAGCTTGTCACATCCCAAGCTACTCCCAGAATAGGCCAATTCAGCCTCGTGTGGAGGCCCTGGCCTCTTTGATGCTTGGTAAGCCCACCCATGACTTTTCATTCTTGTGTTTCTTTTGCTGAAGATCCCTGGTTAAAGCAGAATGGCCTCACAGCATGCTTTCTAGTTTATAATCCATAACTAAACATTATAACTAAATCCATAACTATTCACAACATCTAAAAGCAATCACAGTTTTGCAAGCCAGAGTGGATCATATCATGCAATTCAACAGCCATATTTATAAGGATATGCTACTGAAATATGCGGTATGTTTACTTCTTTAAATCTTGCTGAATGCACTCTCCATTGAATCTGAGCATCTGGAGGACATGGATGGCATCTTCCAACTCCTACAGCCAAGCTGCAGCAACAAGAAAACAGCCACATTCTAAAACGCAGAGGGAGGAAAATAAAACAAAACAGCAGACCAACCCAAGAGCCAAAGCACTGAAGCAAGGCCTGAGCACAGACGCATGCCACAGCTTCCAGCAAGGCCAGGAACTGCTAGGAAGGCAGAGGAAAAAGAGAGCCCTTCTGCACCTGGCTTTCAATTGAACAGCAGCCCCAGGGATGCCTGATTGCTTATGGGTCTCAGGTGGGACCTGCTGGGTGCTCAGCAGCAGAGTTTGAGTGTTGTGTGCATCTTCCATCCATCTAGCCAAGCCTGGCTTAAGGAGAACAAAAGCATGTGCCTTGGGAAGGAGCTGTGGAAGTCCAGAGGGTGGTAGGGGTGCTGCTCCCACCTCACCTGGCCCAACAGGTTCCTCATCTTTGTTAAGGCCTCCAGGCACTATCTTAATGTTACCTCTCTAATAATATTTCATCTGCTTCATCCAGTGAGGTTGGGGTCATTTGATTTTTGCAAAGCACCTTTAATTACCATGCAGTTTCCCTGTTGTTATAAGCAGAACCTCCACACACATTTTCAACAGTCCAAAACAGGCTGAGAAAACATTAATACAGCCCACATGCCTTCATTCTACTATCATTAAATTTACCCAGTGGTTAGATTTTGGTGCACAAATATTTAAAAGAAAAGTGACAGACAAGCTGACAATAAAAAGCATAACATTAATTTGATCATTTTTTAGACAGACATTTATAAGATTAGAGCAGATTTCCCATCTTTGGAGACTATTTCCCTGGAAGACTGCAGAGGTGCTTTCTGCCATGCCATGCCCAGATCAATTTGTGTTTCTTTTCCTGCCAGGATTTTTTTTTTGCTTGGACAGGATCCAGATTTTCTTTCTGTCAGATAATCACAGCAGCACTGATCGTTTGAGTCTGTTTCTGTTCCCCCCATTGTTTGCTTGATGAGGTATCTGAAAATACATTTACAACAATAACAGGTCTCAAAGTTCACCTGCTGCTGAGTTCCTCCTTTTGCCCGCTCCCTGCAGACCTGCCCTTTGTACTTTAGCATGCCTACTGTCTTTCTCAGCCCGGCACTCATCACCTCCCATCTAGCCACACCATTCTGCAACAGGCAAGCAACTGGGAGAGGTAGGTAGAGACTGAGACCCTCCTTTTTCACCTTGGAGTAGGAAGCAGGTAAGTGCTGGGGCTGGGAGACATCGGTATGAGATGGGAAACGGCAGAGCTGTGAGGGGGTTTGGTTCTTGGTACCCCTCCCACCCGCTCTAAAGGAGTCTGCCTCGATGGAAAGCTTCTTCCATCCCATACTCTTTGATGCTGAAGGAAGCAGGTGAATGTTTCTGACAGGTTCTGTGTGCTTTTGCTCTAAGACAAGGTAGGAAAGGTTTGGCAGGGATGCTGGGCTGGTGTTGTTCAGAGCAAGTGGTGTTTTAGCAAAACTAAGGACTTTGCCTGGGCATCCCTTCTCAGACACCATGTTGGGTTCCAGGGAGGCACTGCAGCTTTGCTGTCACTTTATCTGCTGGAGCAGGACACCAACTCCTGTCTATCTGCAGGGTCTGCTCTCAGAAGCAGCTGGAAGTGATCACTTAAACATTGTCTTTTGTCCTCCAAACATATCTAACAGCAGAAGATACAAGAAAGGAAGCAACAAAGGAAGTCCCTGGCCAGTGGTGACAGGGAGAGCAGCGACAGCCAGGGAATGGTAAGTTGTCATCAGCCTGGGAGAGTCTGAGACAAAACAAGGGACAAGAAAGAAGGGGACAGTCTCTTTATCAGGGTTTGTTGGGATGGGATGAGGGGAAACGCTTTCAAACTAAAAGATGGGAGGTTTAGATTGGATATAAGGAAGAAGGTTTTACACTACAAGCAGTGAGGCAGTGGCACAGGTTGCCCATGGAGGCGGTGGTGCCCCATCCCTGCAGACAGCCGAGGTCAGGGATGGGCTGTGAGCACTGATGGAGCTGTGGGTGTCCCTGCTCAGTGCTGGGGTGGCACCAGATGGCCTTCAGGGTCCCTTCCAGCTCCAACCATTCTGTAATTTCATGATTTTGGAGATTCCCAAGAAAGCTGTAAGGAAGCTTGCATCCAGTCTAAGTCCCCCCTCTTTTAGCTTGAAACCATTTCCTTGTGCTATCACAACACACCCTGCTAGTCTGTCCCCTTCTTACAGCCCCATTAGGTGCTGAGAGGCTGCTGTAATAAATATAAAGAAGCAGTGAGCATCAAAGACCTGGATCAGGTCTCTTATTTTTTCTGCAGTGCTCTTGGATATTGAAAAATAAGAAAAATAAAATAAAAAAGATGTAGAACTGAGCAAGAGGAAATGGTGTTTTGCCTTAAACCAAGATCTCTTCTGCGCAATGTGCCTAACTTGTTAATGATGAGAGATGAGTCAAAGAAAGCCAACTCCTGTCCCTCTTCTCCGTGTCAGGAATTACTCACCTTCCCCTCCCATCTGATGCATATCATGTACCTGTGTTCTGTACCTGTACAATACTTCCTTATTTTGTCATATTTCTGAACACTGCCTATGCAGAAATTAATCTGTTGCCTGTCAGTGAGTTACCCACCCTCAGCAGAACAGCTCAGGGCTCACGTTGTTTCATGCCTGGTACCCCAGTATTGATTTGCTCCCTCTTCCCATAGGATGTGGAGCTGCTGGAGATCCCAGCAGAGCTTGCAGCCCTCCTGCAGTCAGCTGGAGGTGAGAAACCCTTCGCTTCCTGCACTCTTTTATTCCCTGTTTATTTTCTCGTTTCCTAGCAGTGTGTTACCTATGTGCCTGTTCCGCCTGCTGTCTGTCACCTGGGTTGTGCTTGATTTATTATCATTGCAGTGTAAATATGATATAAAAGCTAATTGCACTCTGTATGCATTTTTGTTACCTTTTCAGCTCTCAGGTGAGCTGTGCTGATAGAGCTGGTGATAACGTTGGTACAAAACTTTTTGGTCAAAGTTGTGTGACAGTGAAGTGTTTATTTAATGGAACCAGGTCTCTTGCAGAGCTGGATATTGGAGTCTGAGATCTCAAACCCATTTGTCTTCTCAAAAATCCTTAAAGAAATTAAGGGTTAAGAAGTTAAAACGAGAGTTTTGGCACTTCCAAAGAAATATATACTTTTTTCCCAGTGAGGAAAACAATATATATTTCTTTTCAGTGTCTTGGGGGCCAACCTTCACTGACAGTGGTGAAGATGAAGTCTGCATGTGATGAGAAATAAACAGGGAGAGAAAGGAAGGGAAGCTGTCAGGGGACACATTGGGTTCGGGGTAGAGAAATGCCCAGAAGTTGTGCAGCACTGAGAAATCCCTTAGCTTATCAAGGTGCTTGCTCCTGTTTATGATAACCCCATATCCAGTGCCTCATGACGACCTCTGATTTAATTGTTGACTTAACACTTGTCAACATTATCTCTGCATAGATTTAATGTTCTCTGCCCCTTAAATTCCATGTAACAGAATTGAAACTGCAGGTGCTGCGTGCTCACTGGATGTTACCTAGGGATAAGAGTCTGAAAGAACTAAGCTGGAGTTAAATGCTGTGGTCTCAGGGCAGAGAGGAGATGCCTGAAACGGAGTTTGGGGCAGCAGGGATGGACTGTGTGTCCCTGGAGCCAGAGGACTGGTACCAGGACACTGTTGCTTGACCAAGAGTAGATGTGTGGAATGGCCAGCCATGCACTGCACTGTGAGTTGGGTGTGTTCTGGCTGCCATGACCCAAGACCTCTTTCTCTTGCAGGTCAGTATGCAGCACAGGCCAAACAGATAACTGAAGCGTTACCTCCAGAAGTTAAGGTCAAAGATGACCTTTCCCTTCCAGCCAACATCAACAGCTATCCTTTCTCCTCCTTCATTAAGTCACACTTCCAGGTGGG